AACACACTGGCTGAACATAACAAAAGGCACACAACACACAATCTTCCAGAAAAAAAACAAAGCAAATGACCAAAATCAATACCACCATTGATGCACAGCAATCCCTTCATCCCTCACTCTACCATACAAAGCCAAACACTGCCAATAAGCCCTCTTACTCTTACTCTTACCATCATCCCACTCATTCTTGCACTCCAAAAACAACTCATCCACAAGACACAAACTCCTATCTCTCAGCATCTCCTCCACCAAAACTGCTTCTGCCTTCATCACCACATAATCCTCAGGTCCCACATCGACATTATTCCTCCTCAACCAATCACTACTTCCCATCTTGTTTTCAAGTCCTGCCCCCAATTGGTAGACTTCGAATTCTTGATCATTCATCGGGTAATTCTTGTAGAACCAATCAAATGCCCTCGAGTCGTCGGATATGAACACCCTTCTTCGGTACACGTCCAACGAGTCCTTCAACAGATTCGGAAGGAATTTGATTTTCCTAGACGTGAAGAAGCTCGATTTTTTTCTTCTCCCGGCAGATTTCGTTTTTCCCTGTCTCGGAGGTTCGAGGTACACGTCCTCCAACCCTTTCAAAGCTTCTTCCTTCTTTTTCTTCTCGTGAGTAACAACTCTGCAAGAAGAAACTTGCTTCGAATTCGGCAATCCGTCGGATTTTATTTTCCGAAGCGCGACAAATGTGCTCTCGAATCTTCTCAGATACACGATTTTGAAATCCGTGTGCAGTCGAAGCCCGTTCAAGGGATCATGTTCATGCCTAAGAGGAGCCACCACAAGAGCGCCACTCTTGGCAATACCATCAATCATCTGAATACCATTGAAATTCGGCAGGAACACAAAATCGAAGGTCTCACTCACGGTCGGATTAGCACCAGCAAGCAAATCAATGCCGTCATCTCTCAAGAAATCGAGATCGCCTTCAATGGCTTTCAGGCTGGGGAGCAGAACAAAACCGCTGTGGCCTTTCCTGATAAGGCCTTCGTCCACCAGGTCGTGGAGAACGATTGGGAGGATTCTGGGCCCTTCGATGAAGCCCAGGCCAGAATCGGGCCAGATGTCCGCCGGCCCATGATTAGGAGAGGCTCCACCTCCAATTACGGAGGCGATCGAAGGTAATGTGAGAAGAACAATCGCCAACAACAGCGATCTGGATAGAATTCGGAGAGCCCTTGAATCCGGGAGCTTGATGATCAAAAGCGTGTGGGAATTTAATCCGATTCCCATGGCGCTCACCTTGTCGCTTTTCAAATCGTACGCTCGGCCTGCGGCACGGTGGTCGAGGCCCGATTTAGCCATTCCTTTTCTTATGCTACAGCAGCAATCGCGCGCTCAAAACCGCAATTACGGTCTTTTTTTGGTCCTTCTGACAGAGAAGGAGAAACTCTCACTCTTTTTCCTTAACCCAAATCCTAAAATGGCGGAGGAGAAAAAAATAAACAATCGAGGCAAATGGCGGTGGAAAAGTCCTAGCGAGTGCAAAATCTGGAGGAGGTGTGATTTCCACCCACGAGGGCAACACGGCTGCTTTGTGCTCTGCAACAGAGGAGTAACAAATCCCCAATTCTAGCTATCTCCATGATTTTTTCCCCCTTGTTTTCTTCTTCACTTATGTTCCTATCTCTCCCTTTTTCGACTCAAAGGCGGTGTTTTTTCATGTTCGCAGACGGTAACATATCGGAAAACTCAGACAACCACCGTCAGCCGCCGAGGGAAGGAGCGAACGGAAAGAAAAAGAGGAGAAAAAGTGTGAATGAAATGAATATCGAGGTTTATTTATTTTGTTATTGCAAATTTAATTTGTTTNTATGATGTGGAATGTGTGGGTGGAATCGGAATGAATGGGGAATGTGTGCATTATATATTACAATTATTATTGTGGGTAGATTATTGGCCTTTTGTTGTAAATTGGGATCCTCAAGCATTCATCAATTCACACCAAACAAAGTAAAGAGAAACGAGTAAGAGAACAAGAGACAGAAGAGCAGAAAAGTCTATCCCTTTATTCATCGTATATCACCCTTTTATAGGGTTTACAAGTGAGAAGCCCTAAAACCTAATTTTCCTAACTAATGGACTTCAGGCCCAATTATCAATTAGTAATGTCCATATACATATATTTATAACACTCCCCCTTGGACATTACTATATCATGTCCATGTCTCGTTAAAAACCTCGCTACAAAACCCAGTGGGAAAAAATAGTCGAGGAAAAGAGTACATGACGTATGCATATTTATGTGTTACACTTGCTGCCTCATTAAAAACCTTACTAAGTAAAACCCAATGGAAAAAAACATAGCTAAGGGAAAAAGAGTACAGCACTGGCCAACAGGGCCTAATTTTCAGGATTACAATTAGCCTTCCGGGCTCGATCTTCAGGATTTATTTATCGCTCCCCCTGAAGGCAAGAGCCTTTCAAGTTATATTTATAAATGTTTGTTGCTCCCCCTCAAGGCAAGAGTGTCTACATAAAATCGTCATTGGTTGCTCTTCCGGAGTTAATATGAATTCAAAAATATCATCAAATGTATTTCCATAATTTATTTGTGTAACACAAACTGAGTTATCTTCCAGATAAATATGGGGAAATTTAAATAACCAATGGTAAAGAGTTAATACCATTTAAGAGGTCTATAACCAATCGAGGACCCAGTACTTGGGGATCAATTATACAATTTATGTCTTTATCCACCAATATCATATATCTAGTCCAAAGATAACTCAACATACATGAAAGCATAATGAGATATTCTCAAATTTATCACGACATCTCTCTAAGGAGAGAGATAGTAAATCTTGCTAGCAAATTCATCGGAAATGCAATATCAGGCCTGATGCACTTTGCGTGATAAAAGTTTAGCACAATTGCGCGTAGTAAATAAACTTCAGGTCATTTATGGACTTCAAGTCCATTGGAACTTCAGGTCCTATAATATCCTCATTTGTTTCTTTGGATCTTTATAAATCTTTGTCAAATTTAAAATATTTGACACTCATTGGTGTTATAATTTTACATCTCTATAAAGAGATTCAAGTAGATTGGTTAGGTAAAAAATACTCCTTCTAGGAGATGCTCGATCTACAAGTCGATTTAATACTCTTTGGTATTTAACCAAGAGTTTCATTCTAACTCCGTCTATAAGCATGAGCGAACTTATTTAATCTTTACATAGTGTTCACCACATAATCTATTTGACCGAGATGATCATTTTGTATATTATCATTAATATACACAAGGATCTACCTTGAATTTCTTATTTTACTTCTTCAGGAAGAATTTAGTTGGTTGTACCACATCTTACCAACAACTTCAAATAATTAAACTATTTAATTATCGTTCATCTCGGGTACTCGAGCCCATCTAGGACTTTTCACATATGACTCGGTAGTCATGTTAATGATGCTGCCATAAATATTAACTTGCGGAATCATTGCTAATGAGAGAACTTATAAATATTTGGGTCTCTGCATAAACCCATGAGCATAATCTCGCTATATTTACGTCATACCACCACATCACATGTTTCATATAAATATTCATTATCCTTCTGGGATATGCTATCCTCCTGGGATATATCGTGTAGCGAGTGAAAGCTCTGCCTCAATTTTTCTTTCTATCTCAATCAACTTAAGCGCTTCTAGCACTTCTATTCTTTTGATCCGGATCATTATTTGAGACAGTTAAGAAATCACATAGGCAAGTATGTTGTCGACAACTGATATTCAATTTATATTTTTCTCTCAACCATTTGATAGCCATATTTATAAT